AAAAGTATGTCCTTGTCTTTTTTTGCAAACCCCACTCAGGTGCTGGAAGGCTGCTATAACATCTTCCTGGAGCCTTCTCCAGGCTGAACAGCCCCATCTTTCTCACCTGGTCTTCATAGGAGAGGTGCTCCAGCCCTCTGAGCACTTTTATGGCCTCCTGTGGGCCACTCCAACAGGTCCATGTCTTCCTTGTGCTGAGGACTCTAGAGCTTGGCACAGCACTGCAGGTGGGGTCTCACCAGGACAGAGTAGAGAGGCAGAATCACATCCTTTGACCTGCTGGCCACACTTCTTTTGATGCAGCCCAGGACATGGTTGACTTTCTGAGCTGCTAATGCACATTGCCAGCTCAAGTCCAGGTTTTCATCCACCAGAATAGACAGCTGTCATACAAGTTTTCAGCTTCAAGTGAATCATGGATTTGATCATGGAAGACAGAATTTTTTAATAATACGGAACTGCTTGGAACATTTTTTAATAAATTAGAATAGCTTAGAACAAATGCTGTGAGGTATGACTAACTTAACACTAGGATTTAGATTGTGATGGAAAGTTTTTGGACAGATAGCCTGTTCTTTGATTTTAGACATGTTCAGCTTTATTGGCTTTGATTTTGGGTGCTAAGGAAAAGCACTTGTAAGATTTTAATAAATACTTAAAAAAAAATGTAAGCATAGAACTCATGGATGTTAACCCTCATTGAATAAAATCACACCTAAGCTATTAATTTAGTTTACTGATCTTGCACAACAGAACACCATCCTTTTCTGCTTTGCACTCTGAGATTTTTCTTGTCTTGTTTATGATTAGAACTCTGGGAAACAGATTAATTTTTAACTTAAATTTGTATTTTTAAAAGCCCTTACTAATATATATTTTTTGTTTTGGTTTGGTTTTTTTTAGATCTCAGCCTGTCCCTTTTTTTCTTCTTTTACCCCCAGCTCCTTCCTTTTCTGTAAAACTTGAGAAAACTAAAAATACTGGATTCCTCCAGCTGTGCCTTAAAGTGAACTGCTTTGACTGTCCTGGAAAGTCAATCCATTATTAGTGCATGAAATGACCTTGGGTTGCTCATGATTAAAGGGGATGCTTTTTTTTTAAAAAAAAAAATTAATTGTATGTTTCTGGTGGTGGTTATCTGTAACTTCTTTCTTATTTTCCACCTAGATTTTAAAATTCTAAACATTTGTTTTAGGTACATTTTGAAAATGCATACAGGAGAACATCTTCCTCCGAGAGTGAATGAGGAGCAAATCTAATCTGGGTTGTCCAAGTTTAATTTGTCTCTTTCATGCTTCTGTCTAAAACAATATTATTATTTTTTTTCCCACATCTTCTGTTTTTTTTACTCTTTAACATGCATAGTTGTGTTTAATTTTAAAAAAGCAAACACAAACATCCAAGAAACCAACACAAAAGATCACTGCTGTCATCTGGTTATTCTTCATTGCCTTTTGACAGACCTTGTAAGCCACTGGTGAAAACACTGTGATTTTATTTCTTACATGTGAATGTTTATCATCAAGTAGGAATGGAAGGAAATAAGAATGTCAGGAAGAAGATGACATGGTCTCCGGTGGTGGTGTGAAATGATTAACAGAACAATTGATGCAACAACTGATAATCTAATGAATCAGTTAGAGCAGAAAGGAAGTAGGTTAATTGCTGCACTGAGAATGCTGACGATTGATGCACTTCAAAATATAATACGCATCTGTCATGGTTCTCTTCTCAGAGGGAAAAACGAAGTTCTAATTTTATGTACCTGATGATTGAATTCCGTTGCGTCAAGTGTGATGATAAAGAATATGGAATAGTTTACTACGAAAAGGTATGTGCCTTGCAGGCTTTATAGTCTTCCTTAAAAAGCAGCATACACACCTAAAATGGGTAGGTTTTTCTCCTGAGGTGAAATAGCTGCTTCAGGGTACCTCTAGGCAGCTGTCAGTGGCAACTGTTTATGTGCACACAAATCAAAAAGTATAGATGCAACAAGATTGCAGAAGTCAATCATTCATGTAATGCAGTGCAAGATTACAGAATTTAGTAAGTGTGAGTGATTAAAAACTTGTTGATTTATGGTTCCTTCTGTCATCCAGCAGTACTTTCAGTACTACCTGTGTGTAGAATTATGTCTTCTATCAGGAAGAAATGTACCTGTATGTATTGGTGACTTTATAAAAGGTAAGTTATTAAAAGTTTGCACAAGAGCAAACATTTTCTCTGAAATGAACAAATATAAAGTTTTAGTCTTTCAAGCTGAAAATACTTTGGAAATAAGACATCTGGATTTGAATGTTTTGCATCTCTTCTCTCTGATCACAAAAATACATCTCCAAAGTAGTGTCTTTGGTGTTACTTTTATGAATTCAAATTTAATAGAACAAAGGATTAGCAGTGAGTGTAACAGACATAAGTTTGGCATTGGAAGACATAATCAGTAGTTCTATGAACCTGAGCATTGTAGAAGGACACAGAGAAATAGAAAAAGCAGTATATCTATAATCTGGATAAATAAAAATGGTCAGTTATTGCCTTGTAGAATTTTCAGCATGTTTAGGTTTGTAAGAATTTGGAAAGTTACTGAATAATGCAACTTTATGGAAAAGCGAAAGAAGGTAGAAAAGGAGAATGGAGGCTTGTTTAGAACAGAGGGACTAAATTCAGCAACATCTGAGAACTGAAAACCTGTAATTCAGTACAGAAAATGTTAGTACAATAGAAACTAAATTACAAGTATTTCTGTTTATGTAGAAACATTACCAGTTGACTTGAGCAGCAGAACTGTGATACAACTTCAGGTTCTAGAAAAAGGCAGTGAAAGATACAGTAATAAATTGTAAAAATTGGTGTGGAGAAGTTGTGTGTGGTGATGAGTGTTTTGGTGTTTTGTTTTGTTGCATGTGTTTGGGTTTTTTGGGAGGCTGGTTATAGGTTTTTTTGTGGTGATTACGTATTTTGTTCATTTGCTCATGGTGGTTTAGCTTGGTTCTTTCTTTTTTTAGTTTTTTTTCCCTGCTGTTTATTGTAGTGACATTATTTGCTTCATTCTGACTGACTGTCTTGATAAACTGTTACAGAACTGAAGGCTTGTTAAAAATCTCTTAAAATCTTGATGAAACTCTGTGCTCTAGACAGGTGTCTAGGTTAACAGTTTGTCTAGCTTTGTGCCTGAGTGTCCAGGCACGTCTTCAGCATTTCTTTAAATTAACTGTAGTTGACAGTGGACCTCTCCCCACCTTTCTAAGTCTTTTGTCCTGTAGCTTGTTTCATAGTGCTTTCACAGACTTCTAGAAACCAGCTGTTGCAGTGTATCTTACACAACTCTCGTGTCACAAAATTGGAATGAAACGTACAGTGTGTCAGATTCCTTCATTAAACAAAAAATTAAGTTATTTAATTTGTGCAAAAAATGAAAAAACATTCTGGAGAGCATAATCGAGTTTGATCAAAACACTGAAACATTTCACTAACCATTAGCTTTTGAGGTTACAATGTATTGAACTTCTCACAGGTGTGAACTGATGAGCCTGTCTGGTGGCTTGGTGTCCTCTTTTGCTCTTATTTTTGTAGTTGGATGTGAGATTCCTAAAAAAATATTTCTTTCTCTCACCTCCAGAAAACCTACCGTTATAGATTCATTATTCCTAATTTACACAAACAACTTGTCATCATGGTGGTTTTACATATGTGCCAGGTGAGAGGAAGAAGGTTCAGACCTCAAGCATGCATCGTTATTCTAACAGATGTTTGTGAGGCATATTAAAAGTGCGTGGAGCAAAATGAGTATGAGTTGGCAGCTCCTGTGGAAATAAAGTAATAGAATTTGTAATATTACATATTAAAGCTATAACTAACTGCAGGCTGATGGATCTGTTGTTATGAAGTAGCTTTGCAACAAATTCTTGACCCGTTTCTGGCAGCAATAGGAAACAGTACATAAATGAATGTTTGTCTTCTCAGTTTTGTCATGCTTCCAATTGAAGTGCACAGTACACATACCCAGCATCACCAGCCCGGTGTGTTGAGTCTAATGAAGAAGGTTCTGTTGTCACTTAGCTGTGACCGATAGTCAGAGTGTAGATTACTTGTCACACTTTTGTTGATAAATTTGTTTCCAAGTGTTTACGAAGAGCGAGCCTGTTAAACAGTGGCTGATAGAATTTGAGATTCTTTTACTCAACATCCAATTATAATGAAATGAAGTAGCAGTGGCTTTGTCCGTGTTCTCTGTTAACTTAATTTTAATACAGCTTTCAAGATGTGAAGGATAGCAGTCTGCTAGTAGTGAAAGCATTGCTTCTGATTCTTCATTTAGGCACAAATACAGTGTGACTTTCCAAGTGCAAATAACATCAGCATTTATTACAAGCATGGTTTTGTGCAGGTTTTAAGTGAAAGCTTTGAATAAATAAATTGATTGCTCTACTACATCTAGTTTATTTATTTTTTTTAAAGTATTCTCATTATCAAAACCTTTTTAATGACTTGAAAGAAAGAAAGAAAAAGTAGTATCTGTAGCCTTGGGTGTCCATTTACTTCTTGTGTGGGAAATGTTATATCCCACTGGTATTTCTTGAAATAATGTTTTGACTAAAGAATAAGTAGAACCTCCTTATATATTGATGTTGAACTGATTTTTTAGAAAAGTGGGGAAGAGCCTTGCTCGTTCAGAAAAATCTGCTTTTTTTTTTTTCTTACTTACATAGACTTCATATAAAATGAAGTCACACGCACTGACCTTGATGTAGCTCTGAAACTCTGTAACAGTATTTTAAAACAATGTAATGCTGTTTAGTATTCATGTTGCTGTTGTTTCCCTATGGTAAAACAGCAGGTCCTCTCAGGCTGTTCTTGTAAGTGATGCAGCCAAGAGGAGCAAATTTACAGAGTAAAGAGGTTGCTAAAGGCTCAGTGCCTGCACTGTCTTCTTATGCTTGGGACTAGTCTTAATGAAGTCCCATGGGCTGGATGACTGTTGGCAGCTGGGGACAGATTAAGTTTTCTAAAACTTCCATGATGTGAACTAGAGTTTACTGCATGGGGCTAATCAGGAGAGACACTTCCAAAAGGTCACCCTTGAGGAAATTCAGATGCTAATTTAGAGTTGACCCGCAGGCATTGGTGTGGTTTAGTAAGCTTTTATAGTCAGGGTTGCATGTGATTCTCTTCAAGTCTGACAGAGAATTAGAGCTGCCTGTTAATCTCATGGCGGGCAAGTTAAACAACTGATGTCGGTCCCAGGCTAACTAATGGCATTGTGCTGTCTTGAGGAGTTTGTTGTGAAAGTGTTCATTCCTGACTCAGTACCTTGTCTCACAAGTGTTTGGCAAAATATGGTATAGCAAGTGTGGGTTCAAGCTTAAAGCTGTGTTCTTAAAAATACAGCAGAGCCCTGGGAACACAGTTTACTAGTGCTTGAGCTGAGTAGAGATTTTCAGGTTGACTCTTCAGCATAGTCTAACTGTGTTTCATAAGAGTTTAAGGAGCAATCATTATAACATCTGTTTTGGAAGGTTAAAAAAAAAACAATATGCCAGCAATGAGTTTAGAAATAATACTTTTAACACTTGTATTGGAAAAAATCCCCAATCTTTGTTTTAGAGGTTATTATAAACATTTTTACATAAGGCACTGGAAGGCTTTCCACATTTTTTTGGTTTTGGAAGTAAAGAAATTTTTGTCATTCTTATCCTAGTAAGTTCTTACATAGGTGTGTGGTTATAGGATAGGTCCTCAATTTTTATCAGCCCAAAAGCTTTGTCAGACTCTTTACAGCTATTTTGTCTGAATTTTTCCACTGAGAGAAAGATGTAGTAGTGTGGATATTACTGCTGCTTGTCCTTGGAGAATCCACTTGCAATATGAATGTTATAAATGTCTCAATAGGAGTTTGAATACTTAAAAGTTGCAAGTGAATCCACTCCCATGTGAAGTTTTTTCCTACAGTGCTTTTATGTGAGGAGTCTAAATGGAGTGGAAGCTTGTTTGTTACTGTGGCATTGGTAATCCTTTGCTGTTTTATAAAGATAAGTCAGATTGCAGCCTTACTGTGGTTTTAATTAGGAAGATAACTAATTAATAGATAGAAATGGGTCTGTCATCTCTTGTCATCAGATATGTTTATTTTCAGAATTATTTTTCCCTCCAAACAATTTCATTGGTTTAATGTAGTTTGACTTTGTGAAACTAGGATAACATTCCATCTGATGAGATTGCAGAGGTTTTAGTACAGTGTAAGTGCTGGTCTGGCTGTGTGGCTCTGACTCAATTCAGTTCATTGTTGTGTTGATGCAGTAGTATTTTGTTATAATAGAGATACTTTAGAAATGCTAACTTCATTATTGAGGCAGAATAATGAAACAGAAACTGTAAGCAGATGTCCTCTTTGACTGGTGTTTGCATGAGTGTTTTATCCTAGTTGTGTTCTGGGCTCACCATCAGCCATAGCCAGACCGTATGTATGTTTCCCTTAACTAGGAAGGATGTATATGTAGTTATTATCATTATTTCAACTAAGAATTATTATTTCAGAAAGATACAGAATGCATAATAAATGTAATAGAAGTGTCTTCCTGAACATGCATTTTAATAGTAAGAGAACTTTTGCTTTAGTCAGGGAAAAAACATAACTGAAAAAAATACTTCATCTCATAGGTTTATGGCAGTTTTAACTCCTGTGTCTTGGTGCTTTGTTTTTTCAGTTCATACAAGCCTCTCAATTATTTGAAAGTTACCTCTGAAAAGTATAAATGCAAAGCTATTCCAAGAGGCATATGTGATTGGAAAAGTAGGAGGGAAAAAAAGGAGGATGGGGGCAGAAGCAAACCTGAACAAGTTACCTTAAAACTTAAATTATTGAGGGAAATGATGGTACTTTAAAAAAAAACGAACACCTTATTCGTAGCTGAATTTTACTCCAAAATAAATGAGGACAAACTAAGTATAAATATAGCATAGCATATTTTATTCTAGTGTTATCTTGCTTTTTTTTCTGTTTTACTGTTTTCTACTGTCTTTAAAGATTATGTCAATGCTTAGCTAAACTTTTGAAGTAAAAAAACAAAAGAAAACAAAATCAACAAATGGCTGGGTGCAACTGGAAGAAGGAAAACACAGTTGTCGTTTCTGTCATATGGTGACAGGGTTTGTATTTATTCCTTCTTCCTGTTTCAAACAGACAGCTTTTAGCTTCTCCTTACCCTTATTTATGCAGCAACAAGTTAGAATCCTCTAAGGAAAACTGAAAGTGCACTGCTCCACACATCACAACATGAGCTTCTAGAAGAGACTGTCATGCTCCATGTAAGACCTGTAGTAGATAAGCACATGCATATCTTCCTAAATCCATCTATATTGAAATAGTAGGAGGTATTTTTTGCAACACGTTTGTTATTTATAGGAAATGGTTTGGTTTTGGTGGATGTAAGAGCCTGTTTATTTTCTTTTTGTGCTTCTGAGGACATGTAAAAAAATAGCAAATTTCTCCATTCACTTGTATGCCAGCCTGGTAGTGAGTTGCCAGCCTACAGTTGAACTATCATCTGTCTTTGTTTATCATCTGACAAAAAAATAACAAGAAAAAAAAAATCTATTTCTTACTGTCTGTTTTCTCCTTTCTAACTGCCAAAAGTCAGCAAGGTGCTGTCGCATTGTTCTTTCATTGTAATATATAATTCACATTACTTTAGTATGATATGTTCTTTTTTCGCTGAAATGTGAGATGTTTATTATGCCTGTAACTTTTTATCTTACAGGATGGTGATGAGTCATCTCCAATTTTAACAAGTTCTGAAATTGTTAAGATTCCAGATCCCCAGATGTCTATGGTAAGCATGCTCCATGAAGTGCAATCTGTATTACAGCATTTTTGTTTTCATAAATGAAGATGAAAGCTTGCCTATAATGCTGTCTTTGGTATTTTAATACTCCAGTGCAAAGATGAATTTGGCCAGTTGAGAAATATCTTTGGGTTTGACTTTTCATTTCTGCTGCTGGTGCTAGAATAAAATACACAAATTGTTTTAATGCTTATGTTAATCTCCTCCTTTCCATACCTAATGTGCTTGCTTCTGAGGTGCAGGAAAGCAGAAAAGGGAGATAGCTGGGAAAAGAGGTCAAGAGGGTGGGAATATAAGGTAGGAGGGAGCTGAAGAAATGCAATATAAAGGAAGGTGCAGTAACTCTTGGTCACTTTACGTGTTAAAATATTTTCTCCCTACACTCTCTTGTATGTTGTCTTTCATGTAGACAGTGCCTAAGTACAGTTCTAGAAAAGATTTCCATTATTGTGGATGCCAATTCAGTGGGACTGGTATTGGCAGCTTTGGGAACCTTAATGTAAGTGGGCTTCTACTGGCAACACTGTTTGAGCACTCTGTAATCTAACACTGCAAGAGCAAGTCTGATAATGCTGGAAACTGCCTTGGCTGCTGAAATCTCGTTGACACTGTGGCTCCTATTTTGGCTCCTACTGTTGCTAACATGGTATTAACAGTGGGAAAACTTTTGGAAAAGTTTTTCTTGCATACAAAGCTTTATACTGCAAACATCCTAAAAATGTTTTTAAACCAGCTGGCACATTTGAGTGCTGTCGAAATCACAGATGTGTTGTCTGAAACGCTTGCATTTTGCAGCAATGCACTGAAAGGCAAGATAGGGTTTGTAAATTATGTGAAGTAAAAAAACAAACCAAAACCTCAAAATCCGCAGTAACCCTCCATGTATTACTGAAGGAGTTTCTTGTAAAACAACAAAAAAAGACACTGTAGTTTTGGATGTGAATTTTAAGTGTGATGCTTTATTCAAGATACTAGTGACTCTGCTAGATGATTTTACTTCAGTAAACATTTTCTCTGGCGTTTAAAAATTTATAAATACTGACTTACCCTCTGCATTTAGGAGAACTTAGTAGAAAGCAAACATCACAAGCTTGCTCGAAGTTTAAGAAGTGGACCTTCTGATCATGATCTGAAGCCTAATGCTGCTACACGAGATCAACTTAATGTAAGTCAGTCACATGATTATAATGCAATTTTATTAGGTAGATTGGTATTAATATGTGGTGACAATTTAAGGAAAGTGCAATTAATTTCAGTTTAAAGAATGTCATTAAGTGTTTCTTACAAGTGCTTAGTTAGGTCTGACTCAGAAAGGAGCAGAGAGTACTTACTGTTCTTTTTTTGTAAAATTATTTTTTTGGGAAAAGAATGTGTGCATATTGAGTACATATCATTTTTATGCTAATGGTAATCTTAAAGTAACTGTGTCTGTCTGCACAGCCAGTTCAATCAATTGTGTAACTGAGGAGCTTTGCAGTGATAGCATGAGGACTTTGTGTTGTTGGAAAGCTTTTTTTTCTAGCTATTTTTGTGTTGTCGTTTTGTACTTTGTCACAGTGTCATCTGTTAACTTGTTGCTTATGTGCCTATTGATGTATTTCAACTCACTTTATGACTGTATCTGATAGATCATAGTGAGTTATCCACCGACAAAACAGCTAACATACGAGGAACAAGATCTAGTTTGGAAATTCAGATATTACCTTACTCATCAAGAGAAGGTAAGTTGAACAATTTGTGGGGACTTAATAATGCAAGAGTGCTGCTTCTGATGCTCACTCTCCCATGTTCTGTCCTTGCAGACATAGAGCTTCAGTGTCTTAGAAGCTGGTCAAGATTATTTTGACTTTTTCTACATTAGTGATATAAAAATTGATGATTATAGTTTTACCTCTTGAATTGTAAGAACTAGCTATTACTATGAAAGTCTTTTTACAAACATTGGCTGTCAACTTAAAATGCCAGTGTTGCCAGTTTTTACTAAAGAGCAGCTTCTTCATCTCTTTTAGACAAGGTTTAGCATTACCAGAATACGTAGAAGCACACCAAAAGCCCAGAGTAAATTAAATAAATAATCCCCCAATAGTGGGCATTTTTTATGTAGTGGTAGTTGTGGCAAAGATGTAAGCATTTACCTTACATTTTATTTAGAAGAATGACCAGCTGCAGTTTTTTGTACTGTCACTTGTATGAATAAGGTTCCTCAGGTCTACGTTTACACAAATACAGTCTGAATCTAGTTTTAACTTAAAGTGAAACGTTAATTTCTCAGTATCCTTCTTTCCAACTATGGGATAAGCAGTTCCATAGTGCACTGGATAAAGACTGGACTGAAGAGGGAGCTCAAGGGTTGTAGTGAATGGGGCTGACCATCTGTCACCAGCTGTGTTCCTCATGGTTCACTGCTATGGCCATTCCTGTCCAATATATGTATCAATCTTTATATAGGAGTTGAGTGCACCATTAGCCAGTTTGCTGATGATATCAAACTGGGAGGTGCTGTTGAATCTCTTGAGGCACAAGAGCCTTACAGAGGGACCTAGCTAGATGGGAGCACTGAGCAATATTACAAAAAAATAGGAAGTTTGAATACTGGATTGTGCACCTAGGATGGAGTAACACTGGACACAAGTAAAAAATGGGATAAGAGACGCTGAAGAGCAGCTCTGTAGAAAGGGATCTGGGGGGGCTGGTTGGCAGCAAGCTCATAAGGAGTCAGCAGTGAGCCCTGGCAGCTCAGAGGGCAAATCCCATCCTGGGATGCCTCAAACACAGCATCTCCGATCAGTCAAGAAATGGATTATCCCTCTGCGCTCAGCGCTGGTGCAGCCTCATCTTGAATATTGTGTGCAGTCCTGAGCACCACGATGTAAAAAAAGGTATGAAGGTCCTTGAGTGCATCCAGAGGAGGGCAGGAAATATTGTGAAATGCCTCTGAGTGGCTGAGGACTTTGGATTTCTCTAGTTTGGAGAAAAGAAGGCTGATTGGCTGAAGGCTGGAGAAAGAAGGCTGGGGAGGGGAGGTGGTGAGGGATG